GAGTAGAAGTGTCAGGTCCGGGCTAGGTCGGCCCGCTAACATATGAGCCATGTAACAACCCGCGTGAAAAAAAGCCCGCCCGCTATGGGTTCCGGGCCGTTCCGGGTCGGCCCACAAATTTTGGACTACAACCCAGGCCCGCCCGCTGACCCATCCAGGCCGATCTCATGCTGGTCACGGGTCGCGGTTTGTTCCGATTTGACCCATATTATCGTATAAATAAAATTATAAAAATATAGAATTTTTCATATTTATAGCAAAAAATAATTTTTTTGTTAAATATAAACTAAAGATTGAACAAAATGATAAATTCATATTTATACCAAGAAATGTTTACATAATTCAAATTTAATGTTACATGAATTATTTATAATTTTGTAAAGTTTAATTTAACTTAAACAAATAACAACTAAATGCATTTCTAATTACTATTAACAAATATTTATAGCAAAAGTACATCCCAACTAGGTTGGTACCTATTTTTATTATAATTTATAGTTTAAGTACATCACAAATGCCATTTTTTTTCTAATTTAAAAAAAAAAAAAATTCACGAGTTAGCGGGTTAACCGCCGCCCGTGAAGGTGCAACCCGCAAAACCCGCGGGTCACACCTTCTTGACCCGTGAACTGCCCGCTCGGGTCACGGGTCAGCCCGCGGTCCCAGATCGATCCGAGTCGATTTTCACTCTTGACACCTCTAAGTTGGAGTGGGGTTAGGATGGATTCGCATTGGTGATATTTGACTGTGAAATTGTCGACACAAATGGTGGTGACTGGCGACCTAAGAGAGAGAGAGAGAGAGAGAGAGAGGGGAGAGATATTTACGTTTTGAAAATTAGATTGGGATGAAGGGGAGTTTGATTAATTGTAATATTAATATTAATACTAAAATATATAATTATACCTTATATATGATTAATTAAAGTTGGCACCTGAGTTTTGCACAGTAATCTTCAAATATCGGCTTTTGTGTAATTCCCCCTCCTTTTTTTCCTTTTATATTTTGTCTTTATATATATGTCGAAACGTATGAGAAGAACTCTATAAATCTATAAATTATATTATTTCTCTAGCAAATTTTCTCATTTACTTTTAAACATGAAAATATATTTTACAGACATATCCAAAAATAAGAACAAAGAAGGTTCATATTTAAATTAAAAAAAAAAAAAAATCTTGAACAAAAAGTTAGTTTTCATTTTTTTCTCTAAAGTACAATAGTATTACAGAAAAAAATAAAAAATTATTTAATGATTCTAATATTGCATTTGTCTGGAGATAATTTTGTAATATATCTTATAACAATAAGCAAATGTTATTTTATAAGAACTATTTTTAATTTTGCAATATTTATTAATTTTTACTCATATATTTTTATTTGAATTTTTAATTAAATAATAGATAATCCACCAGCTGAACATCGTTGACCTGACCAACCCAAGCCCTGTAACTATCTACCGAACCAAACACCCAATTAACAGTTTGTTATACGGGGATGTAAAATTAGATTCTTCTACATATAATAAGGCTCTGATACCAATTATAGGGGTTAAAAACGGAAAACAATTAAAATATAAAGATAAGGGTAAAATGGACAAAACGTTCACAAAATGACAAAAAAATAGTAAACTAAAGGGTAAGGGAAAAGGTACAAGTAGCATTCTCCTAAATTATATTATTTCTCTAGCAAATTTTCTCATTTACTTTTAAACATGAAAATATATTTTGTAGACATCCAAAAATAAGAACGAAGAAGGTTCATATTTAAATAAAAAGAAAAAAAAATCTTGAACAAAAAGTTTGTTTTCATTTTTCTCTAAAGTACAATAGTATTACAGAAAAAAATAAAAAATTATTTTATGATTCTAATATTGCATTTGTCTGGAGATAATTTTGTAATATATCTTATAAAAATAAACAAATGTTATTTTATAAAAACCATTTTTAATTTGCAATATTTATTAATTTTTACTCATATATTTTTATTTGAATTTTTAATTAAATAATAGATAATCCACCAGCTGAACATCGTTGACCAACCCAAGCCCTGTAACTATCTACCGAACCCAACACCCAATTAACAGTTTGTTATACGGGGATGCAAAATTAGATTCTTCTACATATAATCCAAAATACTAAACATAAATTCCAGTTCATATGGGGATGTAAAATACAAAGGGAGTTCTGGTTTTCGATTTTCATTCCCTTATTGGCTCATCCCAGAGGGCAACCTTTCCCATTCTCTGTAAGTTAATTATTTCCTTTTGGGTTTACAGTTTTTGCTTTTGGCATGATTAATGTTCTTGATTACTTTAGATCGTTCTATCTTTTCATTGAATTCGAGTGATTCGGCTCTTATTGTAATTTGATTGTTAATGCTTAATATGTTTTGTTGGGTTCGAATTCGGAGACCCTTTTTGCATCCTTTTGGTGAATTATTTGAAAATCAGACCCATTTGGTTTTAATATATTATGCTGTTATTTAAGCTGACAAACTTGTGTTTCATGTCATAAATATATTATTTTTTACTTAAGAAAACGTGGGGGGTTTTTTTTTTTATATAATTAAAATGAATCCAATTCAATCTCGTTTGGATTTCGTCAAACGGATTCGACATTTATATGCTTCGAGCAATGTGATTGATGAAAGTCTTTAGAAATATTGGCTTATATCTTCGTAAGAGGAGTTTATTGCTTTTGAGGAGAAATGTTCAAGACTTAAATTGTTGCTTGCAGAGTTAACTTTTTAGTAGGAGATTTGAGTATTCTGAGGGTGAAAGATGGCGAGTAGGCTTGGAGAATCGACAAACAGGGAGCCCCCAAACCCAGATGCTGGACATTTCGAGTGTAATATTTGCTTCGACTTGGCTCAGGACCCGATTGTCACACGATGTGGTCACCTCTTTTGCTGGCCTTGCCTTTACAAGTGGCTTCATATCCACTCTCAGTCCCAAGAATGCCCAGTTTGTAAGGCCCTCATTGAGGAGGAGAAGCTAGTTCCTTTATACGGCCGAGGAAAGAACTCGTCTGACCCTCGCTCTAAGTCATTTCCAATAGATATTCCACATCGTCCAATGGGACAGCGCCCTGAGACAGCTCCTTCGCCAGATCCAAATGCTAATGCTTTTGCACAGCAAGGATTTGGGCACCTCAGGGGGTTTGCACCTATGGCTTCTGCAAGGTTCGGGAACTTCACATTATCTGCATCACTAGGGGGTCTATTTCCCTCGTTTTTCAACGTTCAAGTGCATGGTTTCCCTGAAGCGAATATGTATGGACCTGGCCATGGTTATCCTCATGGGCATTTTAATATGTTGTATGGTGGACATGCTCATGGATTCCACCGGCCTGGAAATCAACAGCAGCGAGCAGATTTTACCCTGAAGATTCTCTTGTTGGTAATTGGTTTTAGTGTGCTCGTGACTCTAATTTGGAGTTAAGGTAAATTTACCGTAGGAGCTTGGATTGTTGAGTCATGTCTAGGCTATGTTGGTGTTCCTTGTATACTTGCTAGTGCTGTGTGATTGTCCTCTTTTCTTGTATTTTCTTCTTTTTTGCTGTAAACAACTTTTTTCTTATATCATCTCTGCAGAATGCTTGTGTTGGATTGGTTTCCGACTAATTCTTTTCTGCATCTCTATCCTTATAACTCATTTTTTCTCTTCTTCAACATATAAATGGAATAGACTACTCTTAAGTCAAGATGTCAAGAGCTTAGTTCATAAAACTGGAAGTTATTATGGCTTGCACTTTCGCTTTAGATATGCAATTTGCCTATTCTATCATGTGATCTCCAAGCATGATTCTGTAAATATTGAAAAAGGAAGGATAATATGGGCTTTGAAAATGCGATAAGAACATGGCATTATTCAGTCCAGGGATAACAAGCAACCGTCCGTTCATTTATTTTTTTATTTTGTCTTTTGATTGTATTTTTAGGTGCTTGAAAAAGCTCGTTTAGAAAATCAAATATATGATGCTGTGAAGGATGGGTTGAAAAACCTATGTGTCAGTAACGATAACATTGCAAGTGCTAGGGAAAGAATTGAGTGAAAAGGTAGTTAAACCAAAGCTACATCTGAAACAAGGTCGTAGCAGTTTTGCAAGCAAAAAATTGAAAGTTGAGCCTCTTTTCACCTGCTGCAAGGTTCTAACTAATGGCTAGGTCAATCCCGCCAATGATCTTTCTGAGTAATGGTGAGACTCTTTCTCGAAGATACAGTAGAAGGCGAGGTTTATCCTGCCCAAGGCGTCATCAATTTCACTGAGGGAGAATTGAATTGAAATCTGCCCAGATCGACCCGGGACTGCGGGTCGCCCCGTGACCCGAGTGGGCGGTTCACGGGTCAAGGAGGTGTGACCTGTGGGTTTCGCGGGTTGTACCTTCACTGACCGCGGTTAACCCGTTGGCCCGTGAAAAAAAAA